TGGCCAAGAGGTAAATTGGCCAGGAGACAGCCCAGAGGCATAGAACGTGGAGGTTTGGATTGTGAGGATCCATTTAGAGGGTGAGAAAGGGGGTGATCAGTCCCAGTAGAAGAAGGGTAACACCAAGGAGCGTCCTCTTTGGTGCGTGCCTTCCTTTTGAGAAAGAAGCCACCAACTGGCTAAAGGAGTGTCCTCCAATAGCTGGGGGGCATGAGGGGGGTTCCGTAGGCCAGGCACCTGGGCTTCATAGCGAGTAGACAGTAGTTGTAGAGAGTAGTCAGAGGAACCCGTAGAAATAGGACCTTTTGAGAAAGAAGCCACCAACTGGCTAAAGGAGTGTCCTCCAATAGCTGGGGGGCATGAGAGGGGTTTCGTAGGCCAGGCACCTGGGCTTCATAGTGAGTAGACAGTAGTTGTAGAGAGTAGTCAGAGGAACCCGTAGAAATAGGATAGACCCACTGACTCACCCTGAATTGAACCTGATGTTGGATGCATTGGTCTGAAATGACAAAAGGAGAGAGTCCCAGAGTCCCAGTTCAGCAGGTCTGGGAAGGGTGGCCAGGAGGGCCAATCTTGATCCCCAAGAGAGGGGATCATCTGAAGGTCCCAGCCAGGACCCTTCCCGGGTTTTGGCACCATAATGAAAGAAAGTGAGCTGAAAAGCTGAGTACAGATCAAGCTTTATTAAAGGAAGAACATCTGCTGAGCTGTGCTCAAAATAGAGGACAGCACTAGGCCTAGGGGTGGCAGAGCTTATATAGACAGTAGGGAGCCAAGGGCTGGCTGAAGCAATCAAGGGGCATTGTGAGGGAGGGGCATTGCACCCATGTGGAAGCAAAAAGAGTTTCTATTTTGCAGAAGTCACGAGGCTTCTCATCAAGGGAAGGGGCGAGGGGTTGGGGGCCATTTTGTGCTTGGCCTTGCCTAAAATAACGCTGGTTATGCTCAAGATCTATCAGTAATAACAATAATAGTAATAGTAATGATGGCTTTTAATACATACTGCCTGTTACGAGTGGAAAAATCACTGAAATTTGGATTCCAGAAAGATTAAGTCAGTCAACTTAGACACAGGGATGTGGACATGTGTCAACATTTTGAGAAGAGCCAGGGCACAATGTTCTTTTTAGAATGACATGTTGATGTGAGTAGTTTTCATGTCAGTTCTCCCCCTATGGTCAAGTTTACTACTGTATGCTCAACCCTGAGCCTGTGCTCAGTAGGTGCTCAAAGCAATATTAGGTGTTCGAAGTCAATGTTAGTTGAATACATGAATGAATGACAATTTCAAAACTAATATTGAGCCCTGTGTTTGTGAAAGCAAGTTAAGAAAAACACAAGCAAATTTTCAGTATTTTGACTCAGAAAGGTCTAAGATTTTTTTTTCTGAAGAGGTCCCAGAAAGAAATGCTAACTCATTACAAAATTTTAGATACATCTAAGCATCCCCTTCTCCCCAAATCCTTGGATGGGTCCAAATACAGAGTATGAAGTTTTTAAAAAATACATGCAATGCTAAAAAGGAGAGGGCTTGTTAAGTTTAGGGCATGGGGTGAGAAGGTCACAGATGAAGAGAGGAGTGGGGTCAACCATCATTGGGGGTGTCCACCAGCATCAAAGATATCTCCTTTTCCTTGTGCAATGTACAACTTTTATGAATTGGGGGCTTTCCTTCACTGGTACCAGCCAGACACTGAAGAGAGATCATGTAGAGAAGACTGAGGTTGATGGAGCAGCAATAAATGGCTAAGAGAAGAGCAATTGGCTGATGCTTAGCAAGATTTGATAAGACAGTAAATTTCTAGGATGCCCTGCTCTCAGCAGTAGAAGACTTAGGGACTCATGAGCTGTCTCTCATATGGTGGAGACTCTATGCAGGTGTGTGGGATTCCCAACCTAAAATCACAGAAAAGAATTTCCCCTACCCCCAACTAAGTTCTGAAAATTATCGGAAAGTGAATAAAATTCAAACTATGTGCATTTCTCCAAGAAGTTTCAGTAAATTACATTCTACTTCAAATAAAACTCAACCAAAACTACCATGTCCAGTCCAGCTTTTTAATCCAAAGTGAAATGCAAACTCAAAACCAAGAAGCATCAGAAGCAATATTGGACCAATTGTTCAAGACGTGCCATTATTAAAAATAATCATATTTGACAAAATAAAACCATGCTTTTTCACCTGGAAAAGCCAACTTTCTCCCTCATTGCTTCTCTGCCCCTTCTTTGTTTTTCCTCTTACAAAAATGAAAAGTCCATCTTCCTCCTTCCCCCCTTTCTCCTCTGGATGCTAAAAAAAATTTTTAGTTTTGTTTTCTTGTTTCAAGAAAGCAGCCAAACGTCAGAGAGCAGTGCATTTTAATTCATTTTGAAAAACAAACTCACATGGATTGATTCTTCAGGACTTTACTTGGACCTGACACATTATGCAGTCCAAACCACTCTGCATAGTTACACGAAACAGGTCCTTGTGCTGCAAAGTCACTGGGTGCGGGTAGCAGTGAGACATTCCCAAGACAATCACTAGACATGCAGAATGCCAGCCAGAAGCATGAGTCACGTTCAGTGGTCTTGCTGTAGGGAGCATGAGGTTGTATTTTGAGTGCATTGACAGCTGCATAGGGTAAGCCAGCTATGTCCAAGGCAGCAGAGCACCCCCTAGTCCTCTGAACCTGAAGGGGATTCCTCCCAAAAGAAGTATGTTTTCAATCCCTAAACTTTGGGGCCAGATACCCCTCCAAGTGGGGTTTGTTGCTCTTTGGAGAGTCAAAACCAAGCCACCATGAGCATGAAAGCTGGCTAACTCCCACCTGGAGAGGACGACTGCCATTAACCCCATGAATCCAAAAGCATCCCCCCATCCCTGGGTTTAAGCATGGACGCAGGCCAAGCAAGCCTTGGATACCCAGGCCTGTTTGATTGTAGCTATGTTGGTGTAGCCCATGCACGAGGTGGAAAAGTGCTTTTGTTTTTCTGCCTGATCCAGTTAGGGGAGAGGGCTTCAGGACTGCCTGCCTAATGGCTCCTAGCCCATGTGCTTATATTCAGATCGGTCCTTAGGGATCTGCACCTGGTTGGCAGTCATTTTGTGGTGGACATGGTAAATTGCAAGCAATGTCACAATGATGAGGCCCAAGGTGAGCCCCAAAATTAAGGGCAAGTTTTCTTCCAATTGTTCCTGCTCATCCACTGGGCATTTATGATCTGGAATGGGAAAGAGAAAAGCAGTGAGCTCTCAACAAGATATTCTGAATCAAAAGTCCTCCTGTCAAAACTAAAAGGGAATGGGGATAAAAAGATTTCTCAAGGAACCCTTAGGGAGATTTTTTTTCCCCAGAAATAATATTTCCCCAACCAACCTCAAGGTTTAACCAACTTAATATTGCTACATAATGTAAAATAAAAATACATCAGTTAAAGAGGTCAACATTCAGTTGTCAGATTATTGGCAAATGTCAACAAAACATCTAGATAATTTATTTAAATTTTCAGGGTTTTGTCATTAGATATGACGACCATCATTTTTATTGTTGATTTATTTTTTAACTTTTTATCAAAGTATAATGTACACAAAGAGAATTGGTACAAGTATACAATTTTCAAAAAGACCAGACTACCAAGTGTTGGCAAAGATATGGAGCAACTGGGACCCTTAGCACACTTGGTGGAAGACGGAATGACCACTCTGTAAAACTGTTGGTAATTTCTTTTTTTTTTTTCCTTTTTGTCTTTTTTCGTGTCCGGCAACGGACCGCAACCCTCAGTGTCGCGCCCGCACCGGACCGGGACCGGCAACGGGATCGCAACCCTCAGTGCTGTGCCCGCCCCTCGCTCAGCCAGTGAGCAGGAACCGGTCTGTATGTGGGATCCGAACCCTCGGCAGGAGCACCACCGCACTCCCAAGAGTGCACCGGGCCGGCCCCAACTGTTGGTAATTTCTAATGAAGACAAACATATACCAACATTATAACCCAGCATTCCATTCTCGGTATTTACTCAAGAAAAATGAAAACATAAGGGTACACAAAGAGCTTGACTATAAATGTGCATAGAAGCTTCATTGTAACAGCCTAAAACTGGAAATAAAATGTCCATCAAAGTGAAATGGATGAATAAACTGTGGCATATGGACCTAAGGGAAAAGTAGTCAACAGTAAAAAGTAATAAACTATAGCTACACATAACGAAATGGATGAATTTCAAAAATATTATTTTGAGTGAAAATTGCCAGACCCAAAAGAGTACATATTGTATAATTCCATTTCTATGATGTTCAAGAAAAGGTAAAACTAAGTCTATGGTGATAGAAATCAGAAAAGTGCTTACATCTAAGGAAAGAAACATAAGGAAACTTTCAGGTGTGATGGAAATGTTTTCCATCTTGATCTAGGATGTTTCCATGGTGGCAAGCATAGGTAAAAATGCATCCAGCTATATACTTCAGGCTTGTTTGTTTTAATACATAATAAATTATACTATAATTTTTTAAAAGTAAGTATAGAGCTTGATGAATTTTCAATAAACATCCCATGTAACCAGCACCTAGGTCAAGAAAGAAAATGTTAGTAGCACCTCAGGAGCAATTCATTTTTACCCTCCAAAAATTCAAGAAAGTTTAATAGCCCCATGTCTCCATTTTTACACTGAGCCATAAAAACAATTCTTGGGAGACATTCTGGAGGCCAAATTGTTTGTAGGGCTGGTCAGAATTGCACTACCATGCCAAGCTATCTTTTTTTAAAAAACCTGTATTTTTCAGTTGAGATGTGTATATATATACATATACATATATATATTGATTTTTAAATAGTAGGGATCCGTTTTTTTCTTTCTGGAGGTAAAGAAACCTGAAACCTCAGCACGCAGAGCTGGGCAGAGGCTTCCTGGCAGCAAGGCCCAGGCATGGCCGAGGGACAGTGGCGAAGCTGTGGTGGGACGTCTGCACCTCACTGCTGGACAGAGCAGACTCGTGCACTGGGCCCCCTCCCTATTGGGCTCTGTCTCCACCTCTCCAGGCTCTGTCTTTCTCTTTCCTTCTCTTCAGCCTTTTTTTTTTTTTCTTTCACTATTTGGTTCAATTCTGTTGAGTCCCAGCACTTTGAGGATCAGGCTGCAATCAAATACACCCATTTCCCAAGGAAGAGACTTGCTGAGACGGGTTTTGTTAACAAAGGTAATTTGTCTTCCCCACCGTGGCACCTGTTGCCATGTAATGTTAACACAGATCATAGGGTTTGCTTAGTTTCTGCGTGCTGCTAGCTGCAACCTCATACCTTTTCTTCCTACTTAAGAAAATACATTGAATAAAATAGAAAAGAAAAGTTATAGTCATAAAATCATAAAAGAAAATATATTGATTTCAAATTATTTAGTGATAAGGCTGAGTCTGTGCAAGATAAATTATCCCACGAAAGATAACAAAGACCTCAGGACCTTCAGACTCTTGTCTCTGCCTGACCCTGGGCTGCTGCTAGGTCCCATGCATCTTTGCAACTCTGGCCTTCTGGCTCTAGTCTCTGCCTCTCCTCTTTTCCCTCTCTCTCCCACATGGCAGTCTCATGGTTAGACCAGCCTGTTGGACCCTGGCTTTTGTTTGTTTGTTTGTTTGTTTGTCTTTTTTGTGACTGGCCGCACCGCGCTCAGCCAGTGAGAGTACCGGCCATCCCTATATAGTATCCGAACCCGCAGCGGGAGCGCTGCTGCGCTCCCAGCGCCGCACTCTCCCGAGTGTGCCACTGGGTCGGCTCTGGACCCTGGTTTTAACTTGTGTCTTTCAGCTTGGTCTCTGTTACCCAGGCAACCAACCTGCTTAGGAGTGACATATACAGCATCTACCTTCCTAGGCAGTATGGGAGACTCAAAGGAGAACAGAGTTGTGTAGTGGGGCAAGAATTTACATAGCCAAACTACTGGAGAACAAGGCTAGATGGTGTTCACGATGGCCACAACTCCAAGTGTTCAGGACATGGAGGTGGGCAAACAGTCCTAAAAAGTTTCATGAAGAAGGGAGGTTTGAGATGGCCTGGGAAGAATCTGAGGATGGGCCACCAAGCTACATGGATGACTTTGTGAAGTCACATTTTCTCTTTTTTTATACTATACCAAAGAATAAACAGATATATAGATAGAGCTAGAGAAATAGAGATATAGACATAGACGAATTTCTGGTGGTCTCCATGGATCCAGACTATCAGAATAAGAGGAAGCAGATATAATGGAACACCACTAGGGAGACAGATAAAAGTGGGCTCAAATCCCACATCTCCCACTCACCAGCAAAGTAACTTTGGGCAAGTCTCTTAATCTACCCAAGACTCAGCTTCTCATAAAACAGGGATAATACCTACTTTACAGGGTTGTTGTAAGCATCAAACGTAATAACACAGAAAGCCAAGCACAGTGCCTGGCACAAAGTAGCTTTTCTGTCATTGTTTACCATAAAAATAGAAGTCTTACACATTTAAGTCTTATATGTACTTCTAAGTCTGGAACTTAAGTACCCAGTAACTTGGGTGGAAGGAAAAATATCTCTTATGTCATACTTTAAGAAAGACAGAGGAGAAAAGATGACGTATTCTGGCAAAAAGAAAAAATAATACATATATATGGATAAAATACTACTGTGGTTTGTTTCTCAAAAATTGGACATTTTTATTTTTGGTTGCCTTGACGGAAGGGAGGGGGAGCAAAACTAAACACACCACAGGAAAGGGGTATATAAAGTGGATTTCAAATTATGGAGATGTCAAAAATAATCATGGAGAAAGAAGGGAGTCACAAAAGTGATGATGAAAAATACCGATTTCCCATCTTTATGTACTCCCATCCACTAAGTAGTCAAAAGGTAATTCCTAAGTCCACTCTCCTTTATTTACTGTTCAAAAATCCACAAAGCTCTGGAAACTAAAAGTACTTTGCATCACTCATTTGACAGAAAAACCCGACTTAAACTACTGCAAGACTGCTTATAGTTCCCATGCATCCTTCTTAGCATTGAAAATTCATGTCTCACTGCAGGAAACAGATACATTTATATATTTGAGGACAGGGGACTGCCCTGACTCTTCTGGGGTCTTACATAATATCTGATCTATGCATTATATTGTCTTTCTTCCTAAAGTCTAAAATATTCTGAATTCTGAAAAACATCTAACCCCAAGCGTTTTAGAAAAGGAATTATGAACCCATAAAATCAGGACATGCATTCCTCTTTCAGGCTTAAGCCAAGGCTTTCAATCTCTGCCTATGACCCACAGGAAAAACAATAGTTTACATTATAACTTAGAACATATGCACATACACAGAACTAAAGCAAGCAATTTAAAAACAATATTTATCCTTACATAGTACATCGAACATTTTATGCTGTATTCTATTCTCTTTCATATAAAACAATGGTGCTCACTACCCAACGAAACAGACTGTCATCTTTTTTGTGCAGGTATGCTAAAACTATGGAAGCCTTTTCAGAATAATGTTTATGAGTGCATAAAAATAAAATATATAAGATTACAAAGAAAACGAAAATTCAGCTATCAAAATATTTGAAAAATAACTTGGGATACAGCAATATCTGTACTTCTTTGCTAGTACATGTGTTTATTAACTCAGACACGTAAGTGTTACTTTGCGAATCTGCGCAAACTGATGTGAGATGAAAATATCTATGATTTCTAATGGTGATAAAGTCACAGGTTCTGACAATAAAACTGTGGTTTATTACCTTCATTTATAATCAAAGGAAGTGATAAATATTAATCAGAAGTTAGCAAAAATAAAGATGTACATTTTTCCCATTGAAATTTACAGGCCCTCTGAATTCTGTCCACAAACCCTATGGATCCCAGGGTTAAAATCCTGGCATGTTAAAGGCTGGCATCTTTCTTGGCTGGGAAGTTCCAAGTAAATTACAGGTCTACACCATGCTCTGGATCAGGAGAGCACTTCATGCACTTGTGACATGACAGCTTGCCACAAGGCACCCTACTGGGGGATGGTATATAGAGAAAGGTAAGGCATGTTCATTTCCACTAACACACAATTTCCCACAGATCTGGGTAAAATACAGATCAAGTGGCATCTCTCATTTATGCTTTAAGAATAATAACAAAAAGCTCATGTGTTCAGGGTACCCGACACACTTTCTAGAGGTGTCTCTTACATTCAACTGTTTATTATGGCTCTTTGGCAGCGGGAGCAGCAGAGGCACCAGCCTACGTGTGGTATCTTTTAAATACTTATTAATCCTGAATCTTTAGTAAACTAGAACAGAGGCAGCCTTCGTGTTCTGTTATGTGCTATCTGACAGTACATGGTAAACATGAAAGTTTTCTTTAACTCAAGTCATTAAAATACTCAGGCTGGTTTGTTCCCCCACAGTGACACATCCCCTGTCCCATCACAGCCAGAAATCTCATGGAGCCCTCAAAGGGGCACACTATGAATTAATTGTGGAAGAACAAGGTGAACAACCCCAACTGAGAGACATGGGATGCCTTGAGCTGCAGGGTGAGAGTTGCTGTACAAACCATATTTGGTATATAAAGGAGCCAAAGAAGGCCTCTGTGTATTGGCTTTTAGGTTATTTCTTCACTGCAGGCTTGGACCCATTAGCTCAAAAGCCTGCTGGTGCCAAATTCAAATTTTTACGTATCCTATTATTTTTAAATAGCCCAAACAAGCAAATTATTAACCATTTAGAGCCGGCCTGCTTTACATACCCCTCCAAAACTCACCCAACAGCTGTTACCCAGTGATAAGGGAGGTACTTGTAAATATAAGGCCCCAAGCAACTCCAGCTCTAGAAGCTCTCTGACCCATGTGTGGCCGAGCAACATAGCTTAGGCTCACAAGCCCCCTCTGCAAGCCCCCTCTCCCCTGAGGGTTCCCCTGCCCTCCTCCTCTCCTGGATGGTGGTCCCTGTGTCATAGCCTCCCTCTGGACAGTCTCATGCTGTGAAGGGCTGCCCTTCTCATGCCACCTTGTCCAAGCCCCCCCCAGTGTGTGTCACTGCCTCTAAGCCTGCANTTTACATACCCCTCCAAAACTCACCCAACAGCTGTTACCCAGTGATAAGGGAGGTACTTGTAGATATAAGGCCCCAAGCAACTCCAGCTCTAGAAGCTCTCTGACCTATGTGTGGTCGAGCAACATAGCTTAGGCTCACAAGCCCCCTCTGCAAGCCCCCTCTCCCCTGAGGGTTCCCCTGCCCTCCTCCTCTCCTGGATGGTGGTCCCTGTGTCATAGCCTCCCTCTGGACAGTCTCATGCTGTGAAGGGCCTCCCTTCTCATGCAACCTTGTCCAAGCCCCACCCAGTGTGTGTCACTGCCTCTAAGCCTTCAAACCCTTTGTAGTATTTTATGAACCAGCAGCAGCACCTGAGACTTTGCTAGCAGTACAGCACCTCAGGCTCCACTCCCAGACCTACTGAGACAGACTTGCATGTTGACAATATCACCACAGTTGTGTACACTGCAACCAGAGGCGTGCTGGCTAAGAGATTTTCGTGTGGGGATCAGTGTAGTAGCCAGGCACAATGCACTAATAGAACTTGTATGATAAGACATCAGTCCCCATTTCGGCTGCTCTCAGCCCCTGTAAGTGTCCACTAACCCATTTCCCTGACCCTTTCCTGCCTTTCTCATAGAGTATGAGGTGTGAATACTGCCAGGAGGACCCCCTTACACAGGACATAGGCTCTTCACAGGAAATCCTTGTGCTGTGCTAGACCATAGCCACTGTCTAAGCACACACACACTCACACACACACACATGCATGCCCAACCACATACACACCGCACAGTGGGTGTGCAGTTATATGACCAGATCCACACACATCCCACCCCAAGCAGGCTTGCTCCTCTCATACCCACTTGGTCATGATCAACACACTGAAAGCCCCCTGACCTTCTTTTCTGGGGAATAGGGGGCCCTATACTGGATCCTAAAAAAGCATCTCAGAAGGAATCTTTTGATCCCGCCAAATTGAATGTAATGATCTCTTACAAACTGCAGAGGGGGGCAGGTGCTGAGAAGCACAGACAGGAGGAGCCAGGAACAAAAGAACCCCTGCCACACAAAGGCACTGGCATTGATCCAGTGAGCAGTGAGTGATTCTGAATGCGGCTTGCCTCCTCCCAGGAACTGCAGGGCGTCAGCCTCAGGGCCCCATACAGGAGAGAACATCCTAATTATCAGCCAGAAAAGCCTGGGTGAGAGAAGTGCAATGTGCTTATGCAAACTAGATCTGCATTCGGGAAGTTATGCATGCTTAGAAACCCAGCAATCTTTCCCATGTAGGACCTTGAAGTGGATAAATATTTCTTTTTAAATAAAAGATGTCATTAGTTCCGTGGGATAATTTTACTGACTTTTAGGAAAGTAGCTCTTGTCCTTATTCAGTACTTATAGACTTTTACTTTGTACGTGATTCTGAACATCTACAACGTTTGATTTCTCAGTCCATAAGCTGAGAAAAGTAGAATTAAAGGGGAATATGAATATTTCCATGAACTTTTTGAAGTACCCTCATATATGTTACATTCTGATTTGCATGGCATACAGGCATATGAAAGTCTCTGCTAATGGAATCCACAGCTTCAGAATATCAGTTCAGCCAAAGTTAACTGGACATCTGCAATGTTCTAAGCACTGTATTAGGTGCTAATAATACAAAGATAAATAATAAACCAGTCCCTTTTTTTTTTTTTTTTTTTTTTTTTTTTTTTTTTTTTTTTTTTTTTTTTC